AATTATTATAATAAATTTTTTAAAACTTAAATTTAAAAATTAAATTATTTAAAAAATATTTTATAAACTTAAAATTTCTTCTAATAAAATTAATAAAATATATATTAAACTATATTTTTCATATAATTATTATGTTACTAAAATTAATATTTAATATTTTATTAAAAAAAATAATATATTTTTAAGTTTACAGGTAACTTTTTTTGCTAAATAATCTAAGGAATAATTTTTAATATGACTTTTTATAAATTTAAACTTAATTTGAATTTATTAAGTTATTAAAAGATTATTAAGCAAAATTATTTATTATAAATAATAATTAATTATAAATATACTGAAACTTAAAATTTATTTAAATAAGGATAACTCTAATTATTACATCATATTAATTTAACAAATTAAAAACAAAAGATCAGTTTTGTAATTAAAATAAGAATTTTTTAAAAAATTTCAAAAATCTGTTTATAACTGAAAATATTGTCTATGAAACTGTTTTTAATATATTAAGTAAAAGTTTTTCAAATTAAATTTTACATATAAAAATCTTGTTTATAAAATATTTAAAATAATTTATTATTAAGAAAATTAAAAAAAATTATTACAAATAAAACATATAACAGGATGTTACAAATATATATTTTCTTTAGATAAATATCTGTTAAAAGTTAAATGTCATAGATATTTTGTTAAAAAATATAATTTTATTGTACTTTATTTATCTTGAACTTTATATAATTTATGCCTTTATGAAATTGTGGAATGATAGTCACGTGAGGTTCACGACATTTTTTTCATTCAAATTTATCGATCGTTGATTTTTTGGCGGGACGATATGTGTAACATTATATTTCGCATACTAAAAATTTGTTGGTTTTATATAAATTTTTTTTTTTCATGGATTGGTTTATGAAATTCAATTCTTCTTTTTTTTTCAGAAGTTTAGAATGGTTTTATGGAATTCAATAAAATTTGTTTTTTTTAAGTTGGGGCATGTAATACAAGTGTATACAATATACACTTACATTGGTTTCATGCTGTAGTGTGATCTATCGGATTAGTATATTTTCACTTATGTATCACGTACAATTTCAACCCTGAGTGTGAAGTCCCATAAAAAAACAAATTTTCGTCAAACCACAAAAAAAAATTTTTTATAAAGAAATCATAAAAACATTCTTGCATAATTTAAAAATGAGTATACATGTGTGACTTGTAGATGCAAATTTTAACATTTATGTAATGTATTATCTGTATCATTGATACAAAACTGTCTAATCATATAACACAATTGCTTAATTTTATATAAGACTATTTTTGGGAACAAATAAGGGGTTTTTCTGGCGTTAAAAAATTTTGACCAGAATTTAGAAATTTTGTGAAATTTTTGACTTTTTTCTCTTATAATTTCATAATTCGAATAACTATTATCCTTATTAGGTTTTATTGTTTAGTAACACATAAGTTACTACAACCTCGCACTATAAATAATAACCTGTTAAATCGAATGAATATAAATAGAAAAAAAAGTATAACGTGACACCCATATATTTTTTTTGTTTGACATTTGGAACTTGCGACCTTCTCCTTCAAAGGATAATGAGACTGGGCTTTCATTGATACAATTAACGTTAACATAAAGAATAAAATTAATTGGAACATTGGGACAGTTTTATCTTTTGATATTATTTTGACCTCACGTTCATGCACGAAATAAACATTAGTACAAAACAAAAAAATTATTCAGACTTATGATCACAAATTGCGTAGAATGTTGTCAAATGGTTACCCCAATTCCTTGTTATATATTGACTTTTTCAACAAACATTGGTACAGAAAAAAATTTTCTTTGAATTTCATATTCCAAAATATTCATAGAAAGAAATCGTTGAAATAATTTGAAACCTGTTTCGATTTTTCCAATAACACAAAGCACAGAACGCATAAGTTTTTCACCAATCATGAAATACAATTATCAATAAATCTTTATTCATAAAAAAAATAAATAAATAATTTGAAATTAATGAAAACATTTATGCACCATATCTACAAGGAAAACTATTGAAATGAATCACAAGGTAAGTTATACAACTAACAGAAAAAAGATTACAATTTTATATAAATAAGTCTGAGTTTGACCTTGAGAATTTTTAGAAAAATTTCAAAATTCAAAAATATTAAAATATGCCTAGTAGAACTGATCCTATCCATGGCGCTGTCTCTTCAAGGGAGCGAAGGCCGCGATTAAGAGATTCTTTAGAATTTTGGACTGAATACATTCAGATGACACTGCAGCGAATAAGAAATACATCAAGGCCAAGTCCAAGAATATCAAGGTCAAGTCCACCATGTCTAAAGATACTGACGCCATCGCCAAATCTGACGCGACCATTGACTCCATCGACTCCAACATCATTTTCATTTTAGAAATACCTTTACGACGCTAAAAATCAATTATTTAATAATACGAGGAAAAAAAGACAATAAGATAATATAATAAATATGTAACCAATTCATACAAACAAATAAGATATCTCCCCCACAAAAATAAAAAAAAAATAACAAATTCACCACAAAATATAAATACACAAAAAAAAATTTAAATCAAAAAAAATATAAACCCTTCAAAAAGTTGACTTCTTTGACAGCAACAAACAAATTATTAAATAAAATCCTTGCCGACGAGGAAAAAAGAAAAAGACAACTAAATAATATGTAACCTTACAAAAATAAGGAAAAACAAATAACATCACACACACATAAAATAACATTCACAAAATAAAAAAATAAAATTCACAAACAAAAAAAAAAAAAAAACAAATATAAAACCCTCAAATAATACAAATAATAAAAGTGAATAATTTTATTTTATTTTTTTTTGAATAAATGGGTTTTTGCTAGGAAAATGACCCTTTGAGATAAATTTCAGTTTTTAAGTAAATAACAATTGAAAGTTTTAAATAAATCAACTCGAAGATTGAGACTAATAATATTTGTTTCTATTTTTATCTGTGATGATCGTCATTATGTGATAATAATTATAATGCTGGCTAAAACATAAATTTTTAATGTGACCAAAATTATGGTTAATTTTACTTT